AATAGTCTATTTACATAGTATTTGCCCGTACCAGTAGATCTGAAGTACGAGGTTCGTCGGTTCCCGCCACTCGTAGACGTGGGACGTACCAGATAAGCTAAGATACAGACTTGCTTTTGTGAGTCTTATTTCAGTATTTCACCTTTTCCCAGACTTCCTCCTACCGTAACTTCCGCACTCAATAATAGCATCGGTAAGTCACTTCTAGACTACCGGCAGCAGCACCATGCGAAAGTGTAGCGTAGCCACAGTCCAGACAGACTGCTTTAAACACCCATGCACATAATTCATTCCTTTGCGCTTGCTTTTATTTTTGGCTTTTCCTTTCAGACATTTAACGAATTTTGAATATATTTTCAACCGACATCCTGTCTTGGTCTTTTCAGTTAACGAATTATGACTTTGTACGCACCAACAAATATTGGGACGAAAAAGTGTAGATAAGTGATTATAAAAAGGAGACGTAAGGGCCTACAGCAGATTTTGGAATTAAGTTTCTAATAAGCTCTACGGGAAGCTGTTGTGCACAATCCTTCAGGATCTACGAAGCTGAACTTATCTCTCTAGTGCCTATGAATGGCTGATGTTGTTTGAACTTTTCACTTATTGGAAGCACTGATGCCCGAGATGTAAATATTTACCAGACTCCGGCATGCTTTGAAATCGAATATAACTAATCATGCCGTATTGAATCCTACTCCCTGTTTTCTGTGCAAGCACTCAAGCTCTGAGCCCTACCCTCCAACCACTGTCTCCTTTTGACTCTTGTCTTCTGGGCTGCCTATCATTGTTAATGACGTCAACCACTTGACGTTGTTCTTATGTTACCAATGACGGGAAAATATATTTGACTGTTTCTCCTGCTACTTTCTATTTGGCTTCAGAGTCAGAATAAACTTCCTGTATGTCTAATGTTGCAGCAAAACACACTGGATAAATTCGGAGGTTCTGTATTTCAATTTTGTATCTGTAATCAATAGTCTTTGGTCATGTCGGATCTAGCCGGCCTTAACAATGCCACAGATTTGTTCATCCAGACGTGACTAATTTGCGACAGTGCATCTGGAGAGCTTGGACCACTCAGCAACAGGGACCGAATACTAAGTTTCTGGCAACTACGTTAATGCCTTGATGGTCTGTATCAAGCTAAGTTTTTTGGCTGAATTCCTCTTCAAAGTCTCCAGGTGAAAGTGGCGCAGAGGCAAGGACATAAACCGAACTAATGGAGCAGTTAGCTAAGAAATTGCCCAGGCGAGCTCATTAATCCTCCTTGAATGGCCTGAGATATCCTAGCGATCTTGTTACAATAAGTGTGGACTGTCAGTGTAATTAACTTGAGGAATTCTCACCAGGTAAAACTGATCAAGCGCCGTCCGTTTTCGTTCATTTTCCACACAAGCAGCTCCGTATTCACAACTGCATGTCAGAGCTGACCAGACAGATGCCCGGTAAACTTTGAAAACCATTCCGTCTCTATTTTGTCCACTCAGCAACAATCTCACGCCGTTTTTTAAGCAGCTTACTCCAAATTGACAATAAGTAATCCAAATGTGTCCTCTCCAGAATGACTGTTCTTCCTATCGTTTGTGGCTAAGAAGACCCCACTAACCCACAATGCCACACTCTGTGGACAAGCAAAGCTCACTGGTGGTAGAAAAATGCCAGCGTAATCGGGGTCAGTTAACCAGTACCAGAGTGAGCAAAATTACTTTTGCTTGTATCACAAGGTTTCTGGTCTTTCGAGTTTCTTATTTCTTATAATCTGCTCTTCACACGGCATATTTCTCGGAAGATTACCGAATTATAAATCGCGTGTGCCGACAAACAGGCAGGCCCATTACTTAATGTCAGTGCTTCACTTAAGTGCTCAATGACTAAAGATTTGGATTCGAATCTCCGTTTATCTACTACCTAAGGGACAGAATAAAGACTGCACTGTCTCCCCGAATCGATTTTGTTCGCCGGATTTTCGCAATCCTCCGAAAGCGCCTATGGATCCAACGCGACTTTCCAATACCACGAACATTTATGTGTACCGCGCATCCTTCCGGTCAGTCCTTTATAGATGTGAATACTGGGCTTTGCGCGTTTAAGATGAGCGAAAGATCGAGGTATCGACCACCGCTGCCTGAAGACCATTCTTCGAGTGAAGTATATCGACTTCGTTTCAAATGAGACAGTCCGCACTTGCTGCGACAATATCACGAGGATATGTCAGGCTATCCAAAAAAGATGACCAAAGTGGTTTGGGTACGTTTTCCGTCGTCCGCCTCACGAACTTTGTTATGCTGCCCTCCACCCGACGCCGCAGTTCTTCAGGAGGCGTCGAAGAGGAGGCCCACTTAAGACTTGACTCAACACTGTTTGTCAAGACATGAAAGCCGTTCTTGGACATTCGGTCTCCGTCGTTGGAGGAGAGAATGGATGGAGCTTTCCAGACCCGTTTTCGCTAATGGTAACGCGTGGACAGGTGCCATCCGTGACATTATTGAGGCCGGCTTGATCAGACATGACCATAGTCGATTCAAGTACAAGTTATCTAAGCCTAGAATTGAAGTATAGCTAATTGGCAGCTAAAAATAAAATTAAGCGCGACATTCGTAGCTCGAGTAGGTAGAGCGTTGGCTTGCGTAAAAAGCCTCCCTCCTATGCGGGTTCGAATGCCGCGAGTTTTTTCACAATTGGGTCAACCAAAAAATAAAACAGATACCGCGGTTTCGATCTCCCTGACCATTATTTTTGGCATATTGAACGATATAGGCATTGCCAAATAGAACCATATTCCTTTGCATACTCTAGATAACCTACGAAGTAGCTGCTGAAGTATCACTTATATTACGGTATTTCTGATTTGGCATTTGCGCCAGCCGTCAAGTGTGTTGTGAAGGAATCCGTTTTTTTGTTATTGATTGCAGACCTCTCTTACCATCAAGAAGCACAAAACCCGAGCCATATGCATGGCTAAGTATAATTTGATTGCTTGGCGTCGGTCATTCGCTGCAGTCCTACTATCAAGGACAAAAAATGATGCCATTAGCCCTGCAGCATCCACTATAGGACAGCATAGGCTGACCAAAACGGTCCATCTATCAGGTTAGGGAATAACTTACGCCGAACGCAGTATGTTCAGACATCGAGAGCAGTTGTCGACATTGAAATTTTTCTTTTGAATAATCGGTCTAAGAATCGTATTCCTGCTGGGACAATCATTGTTTTGCTGGTTCGATAGACTGGACAGTTAAAACTACCCCTTCTTCCCTGACAGCATCTTATTAGTGTGCTTATAACTGCCTCGAATTGTGTTTATAAAACAAAGGAAAGACATGTCTAAAAATGTCTGCCGCTACCGCTTCCCTTGGGCGACATTATAATGGCAAACTAATCATACCTTTTTATTGGGCAAGCTTTAGTGATCATTTACCTTTCTGCCCTGGCGCCATACTCAGCTAGGGTGCCTAACCGAGTGAAACTAATCACC